GGCAGGTCTCTGTGTAAGGTGTTTGTAACCCTGAGTGCTTTAGTGGTGGCAGGAGCAGCTGCTGTGCCAGTGGGTTCCACAGATGCTGAGACAGAACTTCAGGTTCTGATAGATGGATAGAGCATGAGCTATGGGAGCACAGGCTTGTCTCCCATATTTTGTTTTCCTTTTCAGTCCTGTCTCTGCAGCACTCTTCATAGTTTAGATTTTTGAAAAGCTCTCCTTGCCTGCAAGTCCTGTTTTATTGGTTTCTTTCTTTTGATCAAGTATTTTTGCATTTCTATCCCTCTTCTATACCACTGTGAATTTTTTATCTAGTCTTTTATGTTCTATTTTTTTTCTCTTCATGCTACACTCTTGCACTCGGGATTAGCTCTTGCCTTCTTGCTTAGTTTTCATTCCAGACCTCTGTTTCCTTCTCTGAATATGTTATTCCCCTTCCTTCCCAGCCATCTGGCTTTTAATTCCAGCTCACCCATGATGTGTTACTGCATTTCCTGAGCTGGAAGGTACATCAGTGTGCCCTGTTGTGCCCTGATCCACAGCCCCCCAAGCTCTGCTGCTCTGGTCTTACTGCTTCCTGCTGCCATGGAAAGGCTGACATTCCATGTGCCTGGGCTTGTGTTAAACACCACATGCTTGTGCTGTGTCACAGCCGTTCTTGGAGCCACCTGAGGATGAGCAGTGTCTGCAAGCAGGGCTGGGCTGCTCTTCTCGAGCAGGATAATGCCAACGTGGAGCATTTGGGGAGTGGGAGCAGGGCAAAAGCTTGGTGGATCCTCAGGGCTCTGGAGGGCCTCTCCTAGAGAATGAGGACCTCCTTATCCATGAATGCATTGTGGTCCATGGTGAATTCAGCTGTGTGGGCTGGCAGTGGCACAGGGACACAAGAGATTTCCACGTGGTGTGTTGGTGTGCACTGTTACAGTGGAAGTGCCTCCAGGTGCTGTTTTCTCAGTGCTCTTCCATCTGCTCCACAGTGTGATAACTGCGGGATTGAACCTATCCAGGGTGTTCGGTGGCACTGCCAAGATTGCCCTCAAGAAATGTCCTTGGATTTCTGTGATTCGTGTTCAGACTGGTGAGCAGCCTGTGCTTCTACTTAATACTTGTCATTAGATTGAATCTCTCTGCTGCATAATTGCTATGTAGGGTGGAAATCTTTGCTCCAGCACAGGACACGTATCCTGTGTTGAGTAAAGTGGAAGATAATTTAGCATCTCTTTGTGGGAGATAGATTTTTTTTTTTAATTAAAATTAATTTTTTTAAAATTAAAATCCATAATTCTGGATGTATAATTTTACTTTTTTTTAACAGTGGACAGATAGGTTTGGTACAGTTAAATAGAGGGGGGAATTAGACTTTATGAATGAACTGCTATCCAATTGGGTATGAATCTGTTCATATGATCACTGTTTCTGAAAGTTAAAGATAAGGAAAATATTTGACTTCTAAACTGTTATCTTTCTCTTTCCCTTGCAGTCTGCATGAAACAGAGATTCATAAGGAAGATCACCAGTTAGAACCTATTTACAGAGCAGAGACATTTTTAGACAGAGACTACTGCATGTCCCAGGGCACCAGTTACAATTATCTTGACCCAAACTACTTTCCAGCAAATAGATGACATGGGAAGCAGATCTACCATCTTGGGTTTACAATCCTCTTTGAAAAATAACAATGGCACCATTGTTAATTCTGTGCACATTTTGGAAAGACTCTGCTTTCCCTGAAATGTCACTCACAGCATGACAGCTTCCTGGGTGTACTTGTCAAACTACAGCTTTGAGCTGTCATGGTTCTAGATCACTGAACAGCAGCTGAACATTCCTAGTGTGCAGAAGGTTTCACTGGGAGACTTTTCTTTCACCACATTAGTCACTTTTAGGTGGTGAATCTAAACAAAAGAAACACATACAAAAGGGTGAGCCAGAAATGAGAGCACACATTAAAGACAGAGTAAATTCCAAAGGCTTTGAAGAACTTGGTTAAAATGAGATCCAGAGGAGATGAAGTATTTATATAAAAACAGTTTAGTAGCTTGCAGTTTTGTTGTGAAATAGTTTTCAGCACAGTAACTGACTTCTTTAGGCAAGGTTTTAACCAATGACAGTGTTTGCTTCTAGGCTGTACTCTAAAAATACTCACTGTCTCGGCGATGGTTGGCTACGGGCCTTTATTAAATCGGAGCTGCTTAATCATGTTGACCTTCAATTTTTTAAATTTTTTTTTTAAAACCACGACGAACTCTATTTACCAACAGTGAAGCACTACAGGGGGCAACTGTGGCATTGCTTCCTTAACCAGCTCATGGTGTGTGAATGTTATAAAATTGTCACTCAGATATATTTTTTAAATGTAATGTTATATAAGATGATCATGTGATGTGTACAAAATATGGTGAAAAGTGCCAGTGCTAGTAACTGTGTAAAGTCTCTAATACTCAACATTTACTCCTTTAAAATAAAATACACAGCCTTCTGCCTCTGTATTTGGAGTTGTTAGTGCAACTCATCAAAGAAAACTGCCTAATATAAATCATATATATGGTAATAATTTTTCCTCTTTTGTAGTCTGCACAAGATCCATGAAAGATTGTATTTTTATTACTATTTAAACAGTGATTAAATTTAGCCTGAGCAGTGAGCAAGGGTTCACATGCATTCTTTTATACTGCTGGATTTTGTTGTGCATCATTTAAAACATTTTGTATGTTTCTTCTTATCTGTGTATACAGTATGTTCTTAAATAATGTTCAATTGTCAGGAGAACTGTGAGAAATAAACTATGTGGATACAGTCTGTTTATATATAGAATGCTTGCTGTGACTTCCTTTCTGTGTAGTTCTGACTCTTTAATCAAGATGGAAAACATTTCCAGGACATTTGGATGGGTGACCCAGCGCTGGCTGTGCAGCCCCGCGAGACGCCCAGCACCGCCTCTGCCGCTGCCCGCCCGGGGCTGGGGCGCTCAGCTCAGCTCTGGCCCTGGCAGGATTAGCATTGCAGTTCTCTCCTTCCTCACTCACAGACTTCTTTGTCAGATCACAGAAAATCCAGATTTTAGTAGCCTTGGTACAGTGTATACCATTGTTTGAGAAGCTTTGTAATTATTGTGACATATTTTACTTAATATATTTTTTATTGAAATGTATAGCTTGTGATTCAGAAACACTTGATTATTTTATAACTGTAATAGACTTCCAGTTGCTTTGAAACTAGAATACTCAGAGCAATTATCTAGAAAACGAATGAATTTGACTTTAAAAGATGGCAGTAAAAAGGATAATTGTCTGGCTGCACCTAGTAACTTTAATTATAAATTGGTCAGTATTTTTGCAGTAACTTCAGGTGTAGCTATTTTTTGCTTCAGAAAAAATAACTTAGGCATTTAATCTATTTAGAAAATAATACATTACAGTTACTAAAACACTGAGCAAGTATCATATGTAAACATATCTCACGTATCTCATATACTTAGATAAATTTAAGAGACCTTAAAAGAACACAACACAAAACTCACATGTATTTTAGTTTTAATTGGAAAAGATACTGCTCTGAGAGGCTTTCTAAGACCATAAAAATGTGCTTTCCACATCATTCATGGTCTTTATAGGGAACTAGAGTTGGTGAAGGTGTATTATCAGGAAGAGGATCTGTGGTAACATTTGTTTTCTGTTTATATGCTGAAAAAAATGATGGGAATAAAATAAGTAAATTAGAGAAAATACTCAGTCATCAATTTAGGATAGCTTGGAAAGACCAAAAGATCTTGGTATCCTTGGAACAAGGTTGGAAGCCAAAGGATAATTTCAAGTCTGAATCACCCAAGAAAGAAGTGTCTTGGATAAGTCCTATTTTATTGAATATGTATAAATATTAATGTTTCCCTATGCATGCATATACAGCTATTTCTCCTGCATACATTATGAATGTATGCAAATAGGTATCTAATGCACATACACCAAATCAAGCATGGGATTTTTTTGGTTTTTTCCACAGAAAAGACAGAAGAAGCAGAAAGTAAAATTAAACTGAAAGTGTATGGTAAATAATTCTTGTAATTCGATTTAAAAAAACCCCAACAAAATAGCAGCTGATTGTTGCCTTTGTTTCCATCCTGCACAAGTATGAGACTCCACATTTATAACTTCTACTGTAATTAAATTATCATAGAAAATATTCCAGAAAACCTACCCAGATGAATTTGCAACTTCATGGTAACTGCAGAGTATTCTACTTTTTAAAAGAAGCACCTCCAGCAGCAGCTGCTGGTGTGGCCAGAGCTGCCCTCTGGAGCTGGTGTGGTTCTGCAGACGCTGCTGCTGCTGCTGCTCAATGGCACTGGCTGGAGCTGGAAAAGCACCTCATAGAGCACCAGAGGTAAAATGTAGGCTATAGAAGGCCCCAGGAAAGAAGGAACATCCAGGATATGAAGGATAAGAACATATGTAAAACAGACCCTAAAAAATAATTGAATTAGCATCTACAGGGCAAATGCTAAGGAAGAAAAGGAAACAGAAGAACCTGCCCTGATTGGAAAAAGGACATACTCTGTAAGCATGCTGATTTGAGCTATATTTTCAAGTCATGTACTGTGCTTTGAAAAGGATTAAACCCACATATACTGTAACAGAAATCATTACTTCTCATTTTTGTACATGTTTTATTTGTATTATGTCTTCATTACAAGAAAGGTAACTTTAAAAATGCAAATCCGCTGCATAAAGTACACCTTTGACAGTACAAGCAATCATGCAACCCACTTTCACTGAATTCATCCAGTAGTTCCAGTAAGAGGATGCAGATACTTTACAGGAATGTCAAACAAGCTTTTATTTAGCTGTCAGTATTACCAAAGAAACTCCACAATATTTTAGTTAACCTAACAGAAATACGATAGCACTTTTACAGACTTCTTTGCAGATTACAGATAAATGTCTTATTAAAGGTGCAAGCAACATGAATCAAATAATCCCTGACATTTTCCTTTTTTTTTTGTTTCCCACCCCACCACACCCTCCCAAGTTTTGGCAATGCCAGTACAAGACAACAGATGATGATCTGAATTTTGCATTTGAAATATTTCTGAAGTGTAATTTAAAGATGACATGAGATGTTGTGGCTCATAACCAACTTTTCATAAGGACTTCAATAGCTATAGCACAGCTGCTGTTAACATGGATCATTACTGGATTGCACATTTAAATATACAATACAATCATTCTCAGCTCACAAAACTGGGAAGTCAGTTATAAAATCATAACATTCCTAGCAGAAGACAAGACCATCTCAAAAATGGTGTCTGCTCCCCATTTATGGGTAGACAGACTTCCACAACATTCAACTGTATCTTCAAAGAATTTGTCTCCTTGCAACAGCGTTCTGGGGGTGTTTGAACTTGTAGCCTGACTAATGCCGGCTCTCTTAGAGCTGCATGTTACAGAGAACAGGTTTCAGTCACTAAAGCCCAAGAACAAGCTAAGTGACAACCACAAAAATTAATACTGTTAATAGAAAGAAAATAATAATGGGAAACTTGTATGCAATAACCAATATCAGTCTGCTGGACAGTGACTGGGGTGGGTGGAGAGCTCCCTGCTGGGCAGGCACTGTCCCGTTTCCCATGGAATGTGTGTGACCATCAAACACAAAAGCAGAGCTGCTGCTCAACCTTCCTGCTTTTAACCCGTGAAGAGCAAACACCCAAGAAAACAAAATGCAGTTCTTAGAGTGGGGTTAGCATACAGACCACTTTCTGTTGAGTGTACTGTCAGAACAAAGATTTCATCTAGAGTAACACGCCACATGCACAAATTCCAGATACCTCTCAAGGAAGCAGCACTGCTTTGACCAGCAAACCATGGCTGTGGGGTGCACGTGGGCGAGGCTGTGTACACACCTTACACACCATTACTGCATTTCTGGTGAAAAAGAAAATGCTGCCTCTTCCTTTTTCAGAAAAGAGTCAATTATCTTGCAGATTTCCAGGAAAACATCCTCCTGTGTTCCTTCTGCATCAACCTGTGAAGCAGGAAAAAACCAGTTTTGATTAAGTTACAAAGAATTATCTCAGAATCTAAGCACTGGCACAAAAAACTGGTCTAATACAAAATGAAATTTGTTCTGCTTCATGGTACAAGCATTCTAATGTAGAGGAGTAGCTTCAATAAACCAGATTACTCATCTGTTTCCACAGATTTCTGTAAGAAGGTTCTGCAGACTCAATTGTAGCGAAGTACGTTAGTCAAGTGAGGGCGCTTAAATTCTAAGTACTCATTTTAAAGTAAAGTTTTAAAGTAAAGTTACACCTTTGATACAGAACAGTTGCCAAGGGCCCTTTGCCCATCACTCCAACCTGTCAAGGTCCTTCTGAAGGGCTACACAGCACTCTGGGTTTTGGCCACTCCGCAGCAACTTAAAAAATCAATGGGTTCCAGTGCTTTAGCATTTGGAAACTCGGTGAACTGATTCTGGTTTTATGACATCCTTTGTCCCTATCTTTTATAAGGGCACTGCTTTTCTGATATAAGAACTCAACTTTCATTGAAGCAATTTTTTTCTTTAACACCCCAAAGATTCAATTTTCTGACCAAGCTATTTTCATGACTGTATGTCACAAAAACAAGACCAATTTATTTTCCTGTGCTGAAGATGAGAGAGCTGCATTTCAGCAGAGAGGAATGGAACTTGCAGCCAGTAATGCTTGTGTTCCCTGGAAAACATGAGGCAGAACTGAGCTGTTCTGAGCAATGAGTTTCATGTCCATCCCACGCTGTGGCACCTGAGGAAAGAGAGCTGTCTTTTGCCCTCACAGCAGTGACAGAAGCAGCTTTCACACTGGCTGCATACTCCACACAGATGCTTCTGCTGATTATTCCTTTCCTCAAATGCCTGCTGAGAGCTTTGGTCTTTACACAAAAGCAAAATTCTTCTCTGCTTCTCCATGCTTCGTCTTTCATGCAGGCATGAAATGAAGTTTGCACAAGATTAAATGGACCCATGACAACTTTGTGAAAGGATCTTTTTCTGAATTGCTGCATTTTCATCTCAGAGTTGCTGACTAGAAAGCCAGACAATTGTAGTGTTTGAAGGGGACATCCCTGCCTATAATATTTTCTGCCATCTTTTTGGTCTGCAGGAGAATTAAAGGAGTTTCATATTCAAATAAATGTGTTTTTAAATAGGCCAAGAAATTTTGCTCAGATATGACTTTGTGTTGCAGCCAGCTCCTGTACAGCTGACTGCAGTCCATGTACATCTAAGTCCCTTGGTGCTGAGTCTTGTGTGGGAGTCAGCAGCTGCTCCTTGCAGAGATCCAGCAGGGACTGCAGGCACCCTCCATAGCTTGGTTTTCACTCCTGGCAGCATCCACAGATGCTGTGAAGTTTGGTCCCCGTTGCGTCCTGTCGGAAGTGCTGGCACATCTCACCAGCCAGTTCCACACCCAGAGCTCCAGCAGTGCACAGCCAGCCTGGCCTGGGAGCCGTGCCTGGCAGGGCCCTGTCCCCTTGGGCCCACCACAAGGAAATGTGACGGTGTGAGCTGAGCTCCCCTTGGCACCCTGGCAGCTCCCGGGCCACGGTTCCCTTGTCACCCTCACTGCCCTTTGCCACAGCGTTTGCTGCTGCTGCTGCTGCTTTTTGTAGAGCTGAGGCAGAGGCAGGCACGTGCCTTAGAAAGGGCAGTTCTCCCACAAGGGCTGCACATCTTTCAGAAGTGTTTAGAAGTGGGAGGGTACTTACTGGTAGCAAAGAGAAAATGGGAGCGATGAACCATTCTGAACCAAACATTTTACCTTTTCCAGTGAAAACAAAACCAGCACCTCCCATCTCAGCTGCTATAAAACACCTTGTTTGGCCTGTCTCAACTGCCAGGACAACTATTTTCATGTGGCTATCCCACAGGAAATATACTGCATGCAGGGTGAAAGCCACAGCCATTTCAAAGCTCTCATCTTAATATGTATTTTTATTATCTCTTTATTTCATAAATACTTATGCACTGTCTAACTGATCTAGTCTTACCAGCACAGCTGATTGCCACTGGCTTTTGGTGACCTCTTTAGAACTGGGCCTGATACTCAGGTCTAGGTCTAGGGAGTTGTGATGAAGAATTAGTTCAGTGAGCAAGCAAACCACCACCCTTGTGATGAGCTGGAATGCTGACTTTCTAACAGTAGCAATAAAATATGCCTGGGCCTGACTAATGACAGCCCCAGTGCTTCCCATGCTGGCCTCTTACATAACAAAGATCCAATTCATAAAACTAACTTAACATCGTGGCACAAAACTGACTTGAAGTGCCAATAATTCATATCTAGTACTACAGTAATTCAATGGCACTCTCCGCAGCTCAAGAGAAAAATCTGTATTTCTCTTCCTCAGATTATAACAAACCTCATAAAATAGGCCTGTTCTCAAGGCTATTTAAGGCTAGCTTCTCATAAAACATGATCCATATACAGTTTTCCACAGTTTCAAAATGGATTATGGCTTTTGGTAACTTCAAATACAGAGAAATCTAATGGACTCATATGAAAAATTACTGGAGTAACCATCCCTATAGTACAATGTTGCTCCCTTTATTATCAAAATCAACCAATTAAGTCTTCTGTCAACAAATCTCCATTTGTTGTAGGTTTTGAAATTTAGAACTCTAAACATATACTGCCACTGAGAAGAACCTGACTGTCTGTAGAGAGATTGGCTGAGGACAGACTCTGAAATGAACTCAGTAGTTAGAAGCTTCTTACTGAAGGTCAGTCGAGTTCAGCTGTGTTGTCACTAACATTTATGTCTTTGTCATTAGAGTGTATTAGAGAATCTCTCTGAGACTGTGCAGCACCTTGTTCTCACAGCAAGGGATCAGGCTGTCTAAATCCACTGAAAACACACTACCCCAGATCTATTCATATTAGGCATGCATTTTCTGCTGTGTTCTATCTATGATCCCCTGCTAATGTTTCTGTTATATCTTTCTAGACCAGTTTCTCATCTAATGGGCCACAAAGCACCAAGAGGGGAATAGAGAATCACTTGTTCTTTGTTTCCCTCATCCTTACTATCAGGGTTAATGGGTCTCTGAGAACCTTTCAAAAGATGGAAATAAACCACATAACTGCTCTCACTCTCACCATTGATTGCCCCTTCTGGAAAGGGGGAAGTCGCCCCACCCCACACACACTTATAATGGGATCAGCAAGGAAAGGCTCACAAGTGGAACACTGGTCACACTGGTGGATGGTCACATGTTCTTTCATAATGGTTATGGGAAATGTGAAAATGTGACTGCAAATGATTTTAGAAAGAAATAGTAGAACAACACTGAGAAAAAAAAAAATAAAATAAATAAGCACAGCAAAATTAAATTCTGTTGGCCTTTGTAGGCTAAGCTTTCATAGCATGTGATCTGAAATAGTCAAAGTTTTTGACACCCTTAATCCTCTGCTCTGGCCTGATTGGTTTATTTGTTATACTCATGCCCTTTTCCTCAGACTTTGAATAGGAAACCTACCAGGTGTCTTATGTTAGCTAGGTAGGATCAGGGCTCTTGCTTGACTACCAAGGCACTGCCCTTCTCTTTTACTTATTACCCTCCTACATACTGTCACTTCAAAAAAGCTTTAAAGGATGAGTCACATATTAAAAACAATATTTTCCTCCCTTTCTTCTCAGTTGAGAGGGGGCCATATATTCAAAGGGGTTTACATTTAGCCACGTCAAAACACAAGTAGGTGTCTACAAAATTTTCAGATGCACTTTTCTGTCCAGCTGCCTTGGAACTCAAGTGTCTTCCTGCTGACTACTACTACTATAATGCATTTTGTTTCATTTCATTTAATGTCATTTATCTGAAGCACCTGATTCCCACAGAACCAGGCAGCTTGTAGGCAGTTTTTGAGAGCAGAGAGTTTCAGCTCTTGCACTTCCAGTACAAGGTCTTTACTCAAAAGCAGGCACTTGCTGTCCTTAGCAGCAGGTGGTTGTTCTTTAACTACAAATGGAATTATGGCATATTAAACTAAATCCTCAAAACACAATTTAAAAAAAAATTGAAAATTTTCTAACTTATTAGTCACAACTATGTTACCTTCCAGAACAAAATTTAGGAACTTAATGCCTCAACAGAAAAGTACGGACACTGTTGTCTTTGCCCTTCATTTTCCAGTCAGTTTGTCTTCCCTTGCAAATATGAACACAGTTTTCAATTTCAGCAGGGTGCTAGAAGGATTGCTGTTGTTTATTCCTGTCAGGTTCACAGGTGTTTCATCTGTACCCACAGCCTTCACCCTCTGTCCATGCCTCAAGCCTCCACTGCTGAGCAGGAACACAAAGAGGGAATCTTGGCCAAAGGGAAATTTCCAACACAGTCCTGATCTTTTGTCAGCTTCACCAGGTCACTGTTCTTGTTCAGAGGTCAGCAGAATGGAAAAAATGTTCCAGTTCCACATATCATATCAGTTAGCTATGAATGCACCTATGCACAACAACTCCAGGTTGGGGAAAGTCAGAACATCCTCGAGGATTTAAGTGGGAGTGCTGCTACAACCATATACCTTTGTCTCTTCTGTGCAAGGAGAGAATTCCCAATGAGTGCAGAGGAAGCCAGGTCAGAGCTGGGTTTTTCTGTCTGCACTGCGTTTCTCAAGGTCTATCCAGCCATGCCTTAACGCCTGTTCCAATGCAGAGTAAGAAAGCTCATTTGACACTGTACTCTCACCACACCTTGATGTGGTGTGACAGGTAGGTCAGCTCCTCTGTGAGTGCGCAGCCAACATCGAATTCCCACACCAGACCTTTTACTGGCCTTCTGCCCAGGACTGAATTTTACATTTGCATATTTAATTAGCCGGCTTCAGGACTGAAAACCTTTGGAGTGGATAGGACAAGTTAAATATATCCCACTGCTGTCATGTGCTGTTCCCAGTCTGTGGAAAATTTTGTCCAACCCTAAATATAAATTTTGTCCAACCCTAAATCCTTAAACTGGAGAAATTAAATTACACCAGTATGCCAACCCCATTTTCTTGTTACACAAGTCTATTTCTGATTTTCTTTTCTGTGGCAGTTGGAGCTGGGTGCTACAGTCAAGCCCTATAAAACATGATCACTTATACAATTAATACCTAGAGTTTGGTGGTCCTTAGCCACACACTGCAGTAAGGTGGCTAGAAAATGTTAATGCTGAATCTTCATGGAAGTTAGCAGGATTTAGACTCTAATATTCCTCTAGAAACTCAACACCCACTCCTCTGCATGCTTAAGAAAGTGCATTGCTGCAACCTCAAGGGACATAAAGCTCACGTGGGCCTTTCCCTGAAGAGCTGCTTATGTTGAAAAACCAAACTTAGGCAGGAATCAAAGATTCTTTTCAATTCCTCTTCCTCTCTTAAACAGCTTCTCTTCAGATGCTTTGGCCATTGCTTATCCTAGGATCACAGACTGATCTGGATATCCAAAGAGCACCTTCAGGAAGGTGCTTCCCTGAAGCTATTGCATCCCACCAGCTTTGCCTGAGAAAAAGAGTACACTAACCTCTAATCTGTAGTTATATAAATGGGACCTATATATTTAAGGGCTCTTCAAATCAACACTGGTAGATTAACTTTGGTGGTTTTGTCTGAAATGGATAGGAAACACACACCAGTTCTTTCAAGAATCAGAGTTATAGAGGCAGCAGCATCTCCATGGGAGCATTAACATCTTCAGCCAGTGCTGGTCAGTGTTGGAGAGTGATAAACCCACTTAGGAATGAACAAATTCCCAACACTGAAAATATGTGATGTTTTAATTAAAATGAGAAAGAAAAATATTAAACATGTTAGACTGCCTCTAGGTAAAGTCTCAGTCTTCTGTGTGTGTACGATATTATAAATTAAAAAAAACCCAAAGACTATTTTAGCCTAGCCTGCACCAAAGAAAAAAAAAAATTGCAGTCAGAAGTCATACTTGATTTATTTGATCAGAAGTTATTATTGTCAATTTTTCTGCTTTCCACCTGAATTTCCTTTCACCATTCAGAGAACACCTAGTGGCTGCTAATGTCAATGCTCGGTTGTGTGTAAAATCTGTTGCTATAAATAAGAAACTAACCCCCATGTCCTGGGAATTGCAAACTTCCCCTTGACTCTCTGCTTTCTTCAACACATGTAGCTTAAACATATTCACCACTGAAACAGTTTTAAAAGACATTTCCCACAGTAATGTTTATAAAGCTGATTTTACAGAGCTTTCATACCCAGTGGTTTCACCTGGAAGAAGGATATATGGTAAACACCACATTCACCAGAACCAAGTTCAGACAATGTACAGACATTGTGAGAAAAGTAGTGTCCAAGCAAAGCACAGGTATTTTCTAACATGCAAACACACAATGTCAGCTTCCCCAAAACCAATGGTAAGAGTACAAATCACATGTCCAGCTCTGACCCACAGATTTGGCAAGTTCCTTAAGGAGCTAATGAGCTACCAATTTTCAAGAAAAGTCTGCGTATTTTGCCATCATGTAGGGGATGGAGCAGGAACTTGCAGCAGAAGCATTAAGGAAGGGCAAGGGAAATACATGTCAAGTGAAATGAGGCAGACCATGACTGCAAAATCTGTGTGAAAGTACAAAGTGCAGTTTCACTCTCTTTGGGACTGTCACTTCCCTGATGCTTCAGAAAGGGAAACACTGTGGTAGGCACAGGTCCCTGGAATAGGATAGTGAGACAGAGCTCTGTTTTCCTTGGCATTGTGCTGTGTTGGTGTATTGTGTATTGTACTGAATTCTTAGTTAGGCACATCCTTACAGTTTTGGCAAGATAGCTTCTCAAAGTAAAAACAAATAAACCCCATAATTGTTTGTAAGCCTAAAGATGAAAAGTAAGCAGGAACTTTCTTCTGCTGCTTAGACATTGTCTCATGTGCACTCATTGTTGGGGTTAGGAAAGGCCACAAATCAGGACTCTTCCTTTGAGTATCGTTTTTCTCAGCATTTTGTCATTTACCCTGTTCTCAGGTCAGGATATTGGTGCATAAATCAGCTGCACATTTCTCTTTTGAGAACTCTGAAAAGTAGAAAAGTTTGGGGCAGGTGATTTGCATGTTTGCTACAGCCTCTAGAAAAAATAGATCCTATAATATTTCTAGAAACTATTACTGGATTCTTTCTCTTTTAGGACAAGACAGAGCAGTAGAACTAGATCTTTCTGTAGCTGAACCAAGGGATAGCTTGCCATGACAGAGCAGAGAAATAAAGAAAAAAACCTCCAAAATCCAATGTAAATGAGTCTACAGATATGCCAGCTAAGTGCACTGATGGAATTTTTCTTGCTTCTTTGTAAAGTAATGATTTTAGAATAAAAAGAATGCTTTAAATATCACATCCTGAGCAGGTGTAAACTGAGGTAATTCACTGAAATTAATATAACTATATTATTTATTCCAGCAAAAATATCTTTTTTGTATGCAGGTCTATTTTATGTCAGGATATACACGGTCAGTTTTGAAAATTTTACTAAAGGGCTTTGGATTAACATGATCTTTCATCCTAATTCTGAAAACACTTAGATAGTAATGTAATAAATCCTAATACTTAAAGAAAAGCTTTCCAGAATTTATGTTTAATAAGAGATTATATACAGATGAGTTATTGATTTAGGATATGTTCTCTGACTAAGGATAAATCTGTGGTTTTATTCTTTCAAACTGTACTGTGGAACTCAGAAGTTTGCAGAACTTGCAAACAAACCAGGGAATTGTAAAATGAGAACAACTGGAAAGTGTGAGAACAGCTCATAAATGGTATTGTGTCACTGTTTTCCAAACACTGCTCATATAACTGAAATAAAAAGCAATAATTTAATTAAAAAGGTCAAGGTCAAGTTACCTTGCATAATTGTGTCCTGCTTTCATAGTATGCAATCAGAGGGTTTGATGCTTGGTAGTAGCTTTCAATTCTTTCCTCAGCATTCTCAGAGTTCTGACTTCTCTGATTCCTCATCAGAAGGCGACTGCTCATGGTTTCTGCAGAGCAGTCCAGGCAGAGCACGAGCTTTGGTTCCCCAATCTAGAGACAAAGGAAAGCAACAAACATTCAAGTACTGGCCCAGTAAAACAGATTTTGTTTGGATAAAACCAAAACAGTCACCAAGGAATTTATCATCGAATACTATTTGTCTCTGGAGAAATTATGCTTATTAACAAACATCTCTCATTGCAGCAGCACTAAGGGATGCCAGCACTGAGGAGCAAGGCTGTGCTTGCCTGGGCTCTACACAGAGAGATAAAGAGATTGGATCTTACAAATTCTGTCTGCTTGGACTGAAGAGCATCAGTTCATTATTTGCTTGATGCAAACAGTACAGGACTTATGGAATACTTGACTGAGTTCTGTTTGTAGCCTTTTCTTTGTTCAATTTGTGGAAAGGGAGTGGTAAACTATAGCTTAGTATTTCAAGATGCAGTAGCAGGAAGTGTCCACATAAAGTGTACCCACTTGAGATGGAAATGAGTAACAAACAGGCTCAGGGACACCATCAAATATTCACAGGAATACATCCTGTGAGTTACTTTATTTCACACAGTATTTTATGTCCTTGTTTGCAGTGTACCCACATCATTCCTACCCATGCTGTAAAGGAAGGATGTGATACATTCCTCTGCATTTTCAAACTGGCAAGTAATTTCCAAATTCTATGGGAAGCTGATCATTTAATGATGTTTGGCTAGTGCCAAACTAGCCATGGGGGAGAGTCTGTAATTTTCTGTAATAAAAATATATACAGATTTATTTATTTTTATTCTTAGGCCTGGCAAAGATCAGAAATACTAGTCTCTCTCTACATTTGACCATAGATATTGCAGTACTTTAATGGGAAAAAAAGAAATGGCAAGAAAGAGCAGAATGTTCTTTATAGTATTTCAGGAGAGAGCCAAAAGTTCTGAACACAAATCTTCATCATTCTTTCCCTGAAACACTGAAAGATATGTATGTCATTTAGCATAAATCTTGGAATGCACACTGCTCAGGCATAGTACTCTGACACAAGATTTTGTATGAGCAAAAAACTGCTGGGCTGAGTCTAAAGCGCTAAATTCCACTATCTCAAGCAAAATAAAGGTGTTACAGGATCAGTGGGGAAAAAAGTTTATTTTTCCATGCAGTTATGTATTTAATCCTTCAATGACACTCTCAGTCTTTTTCTCATTCCTTCCCTTTCCAGCAGGGATCTGGAAAACCCTTTTTAGGAAAGTGAGAAGTCTTGGAAAAAGATGAATGCTCTTCACACTAGTGACCATTACAAAATCATATTTTTACTCTGGCTGCAGCAAAGAAAATCTAAATGACCAATATATGGAAATTGTCATTGTTGTCTTCGTTGACAGCCCTCAAAGGAAGAAAGGTTCTAAAGGTAAATATTTCATGTCAGGCCTTCTGCATTTGACTGAGCATGTCTGGATTATGTTGACCTTTCTACTACCCTTAATGACTTTCTAAGAGAAGCTGAAGCCAAGGGATTATGTCAGACAGTTCAATGACAGGCTTTTATCTACCCATTTTTTCCACACAGAAAAAATTAATGCTATTAGCTGTAGCAGCACTGAGTTTGGGGATTAAAAAAGCCAACGAGGCAGTTTTAACAGTGCAAGAGACATAGAGAATTTAATATATATATATTTATGTGTATAACTGGATTAGGATGGTGAGAAGTTATTTTTTCCCTGTTTTACATGAGGAATTCCATGGTCTACTCTAAATTATAATAAATAGGAAATAATTCCTTTCATCAGGTGCATCATCACCTTATAATGAAGATATGAAGGAGTCTACTGATTAATAGGGTCAATAATAGCATCTTGCTTGATAACCTCAGTCTGATTTGCTTTTAAAAAATTTGCATGGTTTTCTTAAAAGTTTCAGTATTGATATCTGGAATTCAAACCATTACAGAAATTATCTTTCTTCCAAACTAAAACCCACAAAAAGTAGAAGTAATGCCCTTATCAGGTATTACAGCAATTTTTGCTGCTTTTTTTTTTTTATTATTATTACTATTTTCCTGACACATTTTAGCTTAAATAATACATACCAAGCAAGTCTAATGTTTTGGGTCTTTACTCTGTCTCACAGGGTACTTCCCACCTGGTGCTGTGGGATATATAATTTAATGATGTTTTTTCACCTTGTAGGAAGACTGAGAAGGGAACAGAGTTTTCTGCTGCTCTAGAATTATGACCAGATAAAAGTACAACTGTATCATAGAAGGGAATTGGGTAAAACTGTCCAGAAAATAAGCCAGTTTTTTTCTACATAGCTCATTCTATTTATGAGTCAAGCTCTGAAATATAAGCATTATGCTTGATGTCTTCTAAATAGAACAGGTCTTTGTTAACTATTATAAAGCTTTTTACATACCCTGTAGATATGTAGCACTATTCATCTGTACTGCCACTAATTAGTAAGGCCTGATGTACACCTCTTTTCATTCAATTATAATTTAAGAACTTCTCATCACCCTTTGGAAAGAACTGCAAAGCATTATCTCAAAAATTACACATTTAAAAAAACTTCACAGTCTTCCTGAGCAGCTCACAGCCGGCCTGCGAAAAGTGGATACGAGGCACAACAGGGGTGACGTAGCACATTTAAAATGGTCACTTCAGGTCTTTGTCTTTTACTCCAAATGCAGTCCAGGACTACAGGATCTTTGCTGCTTTCAGGGAACTCCAAGGAGCTCTGCTTCAGCACTGGATGCATTAAGACTTATTTGCCTGGCAATACCTCAGTGCAGGACACTCCAATCTTTAAATCCCACTTCATAATATAGACAAATGTCCACAGGACACAAACATGTATGCCTGCCAGAGAAACAGCACTGCTGAAATAGCTCCTCTTTAGCCACAAAATGAAAGAAATCTCCAGCATCTTTTTAATAGTCTACAGCATTTTATTAAAGGGACTAAGTCAACACTTCTGTGAATAGCTTCTATAGCAAATCCCATTGCTCATTATTTTGTCTGGCTTCTATGCCTAAATCTTGCTATGCTTTTATGGTAATCAACTAAATAAAGCAGCTAAAGGATCAGTGAGAAAACAGGGTATTCATTAAAGTTTTATTACCTTATAAACTTGTTTAGGACATTTTTGGAGTGTAATTTGATGTAACATATACTAACTATTATCCCTAATTCACCACTTCTTTTCTCCTAAACTCTGGCAGATTCATTCATAGGCTTAGACAGAGTATTTTCTGCAGACTGAGAAATGTACGGCTGAGCCTTCTTACTGGGTCTTAGCACATACTGAGGAAATCGATAACTCTCAGAACTGCCACGCAGGCACTTGCAGAATGCTCTTTTTATGGCTGTGCCACCTGTTACTCATCACAAAAATTAAATCTGTGTTTGGCTGTTTCAAGTGGCAGCAAGCTTTAGCAGAGCTGGCTTACTGGTAATAAATATTAAGTGTGAAGATATGTACTTTTATGAAGCTCCATCAGATTGTGCTTGATCAGATTTTCATGAGTACAGCACTATCCACTAGAACCAGAAAACTGACTCTAAAATGATGTTTTCCATTAAATGTGAACTGTTCCTGGTTTACATTAAATTTAGGTAAAATCAGCCTTTCCTTCTCCTTGTATTCTAGAGTCTGTGTGGTAAGGGCAACAGCCAGATTTGCTGTACTGATGGGATGCCAAAATTTCAGCGATCAGCAGCACAGCCATGCTGGATTGGCTTTTTACATGCCCTTGCTGCAGTCAGCTGAAGAGAGGGACCAAAGCAGCAACAGCATTACAATTGTATGGTCACCTTGCTCTCAAACTCTTCTGCGTCTTTCAGGTCTTGGGGATACCCATCGATCAGGAATCCTTTTGTGTCCCCTAGCTTGGAAACCATGGCTTTCTTCAGTAGCTCTAGAACAATACCCTGTATAGGGAAGAGAGGGAATAAGATGGTTAATTAATAAGAAAGATTGATACCTTTGTTTGTTGCACTGACTTTAGTCCTACACCCTTGAAAACACCCCTGTTTGGCTATAAGTAGGTCCTGTGAATGCAGGTGTTTTTCTTGTCCTGCAGGTAACAGGGCACTCTGCTTTTTATTCTCTCAGGACCTACACAAATCTAATGTTGCAATCCATCCAAGATTGCCCAAAGTGCCCTCCAGATAGCTCAGAATATTTCATAGTTTCAAAATGAATGTTAATACCCATGAAACTCTAGAGTACTGCTGCAACATTTTCCAATCTGATTGCATTTTGCTATGTCACTGGTATAATTATATTACATGGAAAGTGACCCCATCTGACCAAACACACTGAAGAGCAAAGCAATCAAAATCAAGCCTGAGCACAGCTTTTAGCTTCCCCTGAGCAGCATTTCCCAGTATCTTTCATTAATAAACACATCCTCTGACCTAGCTGGAATTGCTGAAGACCCACTAAAAGTTGAGACCGTGGACCTGCCATGTGAAAGTCAGATCAAGCTAAGAACAACACCCTCCGCCTTCGCAGTCTCCATTAAGCTGCAGTCCAGCTACTCTGGGATGTCAGCCAGCTCTGCAGGGAACTGCTGCAGGTACTGTAATTTAAAATAACTGCCAGAAGGACCAGCTCTGAATCTGAAATGTAACACTATAAAAAGGACATAAAGTTTCTGTTTCCTGTACTTACACTTATATTTTGCAATGCATCTGTCTCACTGTATTTCATGTCTAATTTATTGCCTATGTGAAACATAAAGAAATACTGGAACTGAAAGGGGAAACAAGTGCCATGGATTTGGCAATGAGGAAATGTTTCCCTGAGGTTACACATTAATTTTACTGTAATCATCAGCTCCAGTATCTATTTCCACTGTTTTAGACAATATACCTACCACTGCCTCTGTTTAACCATTAGAACCCCAAATAAAACCATCACTCACCCCAGGCACAGGTTCACCACATCCCACGATGTCTTTGATCAATTTACTTCTCTCTGATAATGATGATAACTCATTTTGGAGAAGATCACTAGTGGACAGGTGAGTAAATCCGTATTTCTTGGCTAACTGTTCACATTGGCTCCCTTTGCCAGAGCCAGGTCCACCTGTGCGAGGGAAGAAAACCCCTACAATTACAAACGAACAAAAATCTTCCAATTCTCAAACTACAGCCACAAAGAAAATGGGAGGAAACTGATGACACTGACTATTTTGCAATTTTTTTTTTGTAGAGACACTACTGTAGAACAAGTCATACTTCCCTTCCAATACAACTACAGTGCTGACTCAAAAATGTGTTGAAGGAGTCACAACAGTGTGAAATCTCTCATAGAGGAGAACCTGTTCCTAAAACACCATTACCATGTTAAGGAAAAACATGAAATAGCCTGTGGAAAAGAGTATTTGACTCGGTAAGTGTTCAGTTTGACATCTGCAACGAATAGCAAATAGCCAAGTAATGTTCACTGCACCACTGTGAGGGAAATAAAAACGAGCTCCCAGCTGCACCTGGCCCATCCTGAGCTCAGAAGCTGTGGGAGAGAGCGGAGGGGAAGGGCTCTAGCCCGGGGGAATGCTGTGGGTGTCCTCCGTGCAGGAATGGCCCCTCCAGCCTCTCCTGCAGCCTGGGGCCTCCAGCGCAGAGCCCCGGCGCTCTGCCTGCTCCACTCCGCACGGCCAGCGCTGCCGGGCCCAGCTCCTCCGCGGGGGCGGCGTGGAAAGCCTAAGGCCTCTCTCTACAGGCTCCCGTCGAGGCTTCGCAGCCACCCCCGCCCGGCTGGAGAGAAGGACAGCCCGTGGAACCTGCTGGAAGCCACTTGTCGGGTGTCCCACCGCGGTGACTTCAGCGCTGCTGGCACAGCTGAGGTGAGGCCCTGAGGCGCCATGTCGGTGCCAGGCCCTGGGGGGCGGGAAAGCAAATTGCTGCTGTCAGTTTGTGGAGAAAATCTCCCTGCGTGTAGGAGCAATTTTACAGCCTTTGATGGATCTATTCAGAAGATCTACTGCAGCAGGAGGTAATTATAGCCTTGGAGGGAGACAATGCTCAAACTCTTTTCAGTAAAGCTTTTTCAGTAGGTGACCTGTGTTATTTATCAACTGTTGGGACTTGCAGGTAGGGCTACACAGCCCTGCTACGTGCATTTAAGTTGCTAGAAAATATATGTGGCTTTCCTGTTTCCTTATCTTTTCACAAACAAATATTGGAATAACATGTTCACAATAGAGCAAATTTAGCACCGTCTCTGCCTCACTTGAACTTTCTTCTAACTGTTGCATTCAATGTAAGAAATAATTGCTTAGAACATATAATTTGCAGAGACATTACAGTACTGTAGCTGAGACTAAAAATTGGGTCATAAAGGAGGAGCATCAAAGGAAGGGGTTTGTCTTCTGTGATCTGCAGTCTTTCACTTCAGCTTCACAAGGAGAATGACCAGGCTGTGGTGTGAGAATCACACCTGTGCTACGGTTTTCTAGAACTACTTTTGTTGAGGGCTTATCTTCTGGCCAGTGTCGGTTGTGTGTTGTTTTTCTATTGCTGTAATACGAAGTACATTATTGTTTTGTAAAAACACTAGTTAAAGAAAACAAGGAAAAAATAGGAGTGGCTATAAAGAAACAGATGTAGGAAAATTACAGGCAAATTACCAGTAATGAATCCCTTAAATATCTGAGTGGCAATTAATTGTATTTCTGGCCTGTTTTGGGTTTTTTTTTAATCAGTAAGTTTGTTTACACATTTTGTCTTCTGGCCTTGAATATGCTAACAGTGCAGTAATTTAATCCTATTTATTTGGTGTATATATACAGTATTAAAAACCCCCAGCTATAAAGACTATTGTATTCCTTTAGTTATATAACTGTTTCTCTTCTGAATGCAGAACCCAATGAGAAGTTTCATAATTTCTCTTCATATACAAAATAAACCAGATCTCTTTTCAGAAATAACAATACAAGGACATTTTAGGTTTTTTAGCAGGTAAATATTCAGAAAATTTGATGTGCTTCTAATACCTTTGTGTGTTAGTATTTTAAAAGAGAGCGCTGTCAGAATGGCACAATATACAGGGCATACACCATAATGAGTGTGCCTCCAAAACATTAATTAAAATGACCGTTTTTAATAGAAGAGTTCAAACAAAACAGAGATTAATATGTTGAGCTTTTTAAAGAGTAAAAAACATACTTGAGTAAGTTATGTGCTAAAAATGGTAGTTTTTATGGCCACTGGTATTAATTTAGATTCATCTGATGAGTAGCAAAGCATCCTACTGCTTGACAAATGCATACAGCCCACTTTATCAAGTCTTGTGCTTTCTTATTCATGAATGAGACCACAGTTCTTGTTTGGCATGATCTGAGAAGAGACTGAATTCCCCAGGAATTCTGCATTGAGGGCTGAGCACAACTTGGCCTTTACACCAGTATTAATTTACGTGTCTGAAATTAAAGTATTATCTTGTCTCCCTCTGAAGTTCCTTAATGTGACTGAAAAAGAGCTATTCAGGTGGGAAAGGATATGAAAGTGCATTTTCTTATTAATTAGGTGTTTCCTTCTTGCTCAGAGTATATACTTAAAAGACTGCTACGTAAGAAGCTTTAACAGCAAATTAATCCTGCAGCCATGAAGCTCACAATCACTTTGTAGTGTTACAAAAAAATTGTACCTGTTCTTTTATTGGATATTTTTCTTAAGTTTATTAATTTTTCGAAAGAAAAAAATTACATTAAGAAAGTTTATCTGAAATAACAGCTGCATGTGAAACATGACAAAGCCTAGCAGAAAGATTTTTTCAGTTAAGACTTCACTGCAACTTGTTACGCTGTTTTTCATATGGAAAATACTCGGGGCATTGAAAAAGGTAATCAAGCTTTCCCAATGGCTCAGTTGTTAGTAGAAAAATATATTCCCACTTTTCTTGTGAAGGTGTAAGATTCTTTGTGAATACTGTCATTTTTTCTGTATGCTGTCATCTTGTACTCTGCCTACGTATACTTTGGAAAAAAAAAAAAGTGTTGGTTCATGGTAACTTGTTATTCAGATTAATCATGTTGTCTTCCAATTTCTATATATGACATGAAGAGGAATAGCTAAAGCCTAGAAAACAGACAGAGGAATTATGATTATGATGTCACCTGTAGGACAATACCAGAACTGTTCTGGTAGAACAATACCTGTAGAACTACCAGAACTTCTTCAATATTAGCATGCTTTTGTATTTCCCTAGTATTGCTCAGTGCAGTACACATTGCTTTAAAGCTCATTTGGTCATTCAAGAAAAATAAAAAAAATTGCAGGTGAAGAAATTAAGAACATTGTATTAATCAGGGAGGTTATTCTTGGAAACAGAACTCTCTGAGTATCCCTTTGTGCTTTTTGATACAAATAGTAAGCAAGAATGTGGAACCAGAGTACTAACACAGAAATTAAATGCAGTTCTCTATTGCTTTTCTGCAGACAAGGCCAGATTAAAAGGTCTATGCAATCCCTTTGAGCAGTATTTTCTTCCATTATGTTGATTCATCGGCTTGTGAGAGGGGATATTCTGGTAAATAACTTTCTGGCAGCACTGCTGACTTAGGTGGTTACTTTTCCCCATTCAATTATTGTCTGCAGAAATGCTTCACAGAGAGTCTTTCAAGGGGAGAAAAAGACTCGTCTCAGTGAGTGGGGTAATGACCAGTTGCCCAAGCAGCACTTCTGGGTGTTCAACTGCAGTCAGCCCTCGATCAGGCAAAGGTTTCAGCTCTCCTGCCTGAATCTCCCCCAGACGGAGAAGGCCAAGGAGCCTGGGCTTGTGTCTCAAATGTACCACTCTGACCTAGAGCACAACATCACCAGCAGATGAAGTAAGGATGACAGAGCAAGCTGGGACTGCTGCTGTGAGTGAGCAGGGCCAGGAATAAGCAATATGAGCAGTGCATGGACCAGCTTTGCTATCAGAAATACTGGTAGAGCAAAAGTGTCATGTAGACAGACTGAGATGCCTCTATTTTAAATCTTACAACTTTATCATATACCAAAATATCATGAGCATTTATATAAAATGCCAGCAGTAAGATTTACAAGACAGTCCCACCATTTATTTTAAAATGTTTCAATTTCAAGACCTTGTTATCATAATGAGTATCATCCCTGTATCAGGGAGAAGTGCCTGCAGGGGAAACCTAGCTGCACAAGGGAGCCCCAGAAGTCTGAATTGAAACCAAAATAGCCTCAGTCAATCTATCCCTAAATTCAAGCAAAAATATTCTGGAGGACTTCATGGGTTTGGCAATTATATCAATGCTACTTGGATTATATAGACAAGTAAAAATAAGCCTTAACTTCAGAATATGGCATTTGAAGGCTTTTCAATAGCATCTCATCTGTTGTTCACAATTTATTTTAATCTAAGTGAACCCATACAGAAATTGTTCTATTATTTAACAACAACAAGCCCTCAACACTTTGTATTTCTTTTTTCCTGAGAAATTATTTTTATTAGAAAACAATGTGTTGTATGTTTTGGCAGAGTGATGCAATAGCCTGGGACATCATTGAGTTTTCATCCTTCTTAAAAATAATGTGAAGTTTATTTCATGGGAAGTCAGGGAAATCAGCCTTCCACAGCATCTACAGTTAGCTTGGACTGTCTGGGGGTTTAATTATCAGTACTGCTCATTCTGTGCTTCTCTATGATTCCAGAAGGAGCTGCAATACAGGTATTGTAGCATAATTTAGGTTGGAAGGGATCTCATCTGGTTAAACTTTATACTCAAAACAGGCCTAAATTAATGATAAATTGAATTTGGTTATGCCATTCCAGGTCTGACATACCTGGGACAAATAAAGACTTTGAACTTTGTGATATATTTACTTACTGAACTTTGGTGTGTGTGCAAGAAGCTCCTGTCTGCAGCTGATAATGTCTACTTGTAGGTGTAAATGGTGAGAATATCTTCGGTGTCAGCTGAAAAGCTGGTCTTTCTCACATTGAGCTTTAGCAATTACCAGCTTTAGATCATCAGCAAGAATATAACAAAGATTCTGTACAGGCAAGTGGTTACATTAGCTAAGCTTTAAACACCTCATTTACAAGTCAGCAGGGAGTTTGTCTCTGATCCAAAGTGCAGAAAGATTCCTGAAACCTCCTTTCCTGAAACATTTGCTTACAGCCTCAACCGAATCCAAATGTTTTCTGAAGCTCCTGCAGAGGCCAGGGAAGGGTAATGCTCCCAGAAAGTTACTTTCTGGATGCAATATGGAATATTGCAGTAGTTAAGAATTAGAAGATCATTCATCACTCATTGTGGTTAAAATTGATGACATAGGGTTTTTTATTTGGGTTTTTTTTGTCTTTTAATGACTGGCAATAATTACTTTAGTTTTGATTATTTATTAGAGTATCATCCAATTTTATCTTTGTGCCTCCTTATACTTTTTTTTTCCTCTTGAATTTTACTAGCCAAATTTATCTTTGTTTTGCCTCTTATTATCCTGCTGTTATCTCCTGTATTTTTTACTTGCTGGTACTCTTTCTCTGCTGTACAATATGAATAGAACATTGACATTGTTGCTTAATTAATCCAACTTGACTGTTATTCCAATTAATTCCTACATTAGGTTTAATGTAAACTCTTGCTAATTAGATTACTTCTTTTTCTTTCTCTTTTTTGAAAATTTTCAAGAGTAATTAGTGCGGGAGGGAACTGCTTGTTTCTTTCCCTTTGTCATGAACAGTATATCTGTTGTTACCTGTTGTCAAGTATGGCAGGTGGTGCATTTATTTTGATTTGTTTGTGAACTTCTTCAAATGTACATCTTTAAAATTCTACCTTTAAAACACCTCTATAAGTATCTTATTATTTCCTCATGAAATAATACACACCTATGTACTGAGTATGACAGCTGAGCCCAACACGGTTTTTGCCATTCCAGTATCCTACAGCAGCCTGCTCTAACCCAGCTTTTCTGCTCTCTCTAGTCGAAGTATCATGGGTTGAACATCTCTAGCAGTGCTCACTGCAACAGAGTCCTTAACCACTGACATCTGGGGCTTTTTTTCCTTCTCCCCATCCCCAACAATTTTGTTCCGCTCCTGTGAGATTTCTTCGTATTTTTCTTTCGCTCTTGTACCATTCACAGTGATCAGATTTCAGCTCTTGACTGACGTGTGGGGTAACTTCCTGCCTGCGCAAATGTGTGCATTTGGGTAGTGTGTATAGTGCTGAAGCTGGAGTGCCTGTGGATCAGCAGGTGATCCATGCAGATTTACCTGCCTGAAGAGGACACAAGGCAAAAGAGCTTGTGGCCACTCCAGCTTAGCTGCTGCAAGAAATCTGTCTCTGGCAAATGCCATTTACTTTCACTGCCAAAGTGGAATAAGGTCAAGATTTTGCCAACAAATGAGTAACCATGGGGGTCTCATGTTGTTCAAAAAACCCCAACAAACCCACAGAAAAAACTCACACTCTTCTTACAAGACTTTAAGAAACCTTTTCAGGGGTACAAGAATCAGGGGGTGGAGATGGAGGTATTTTGGGGAAAAGCATAAATCATTCTAGATAATTTTTTGAAAATTAACCCATGTTTCGACTTAGTAAAACTTTTCATGATAACATTTTTAACAAAGAAAACTGAGTTTTGATTAAGCCACAATTTATCTCTGCTCCCAGGAAGCATTTACTAGAAAATCTGAGCAGGAATAACTAGGAAAAAGGTTTGGCTTCAATTTTAAGCTGCAAGATGGCTACTAGATTTCCTATAAAAATTAATGAAAATTTAAAATCACTCTTTATAAAATAAAAAGATTCTCAGAGGCAGATGAAAAATATGCTTTGCAATGGACAATTTCAGAGGCCAAATTCCTTGAGTGTGTTCTCCTTTTTTTTCCTTACAAATCTACTTGTACAAACCCAAATGTTTTGGTTTGTTTTTTTTTAGTAGGTTATGCAAGACAGAGAGAATTGAAATTTTGCACTGTAGTGAACAACAGGAAGGTGTACTTCAGTAAGCATAGATTACAGTTTGCTTAAAGACTGAAAATCAGGTGTTATACACCCTTTCGTTAAGAAAAGTGAACTCTTTAGTAACCTCATTTTACTTTTTCAAACACATAACAGTTGAGTTGCAATAAATTGAGTCAACTTGTATTTGGCATAAGAGAGTGTGAGATAATACTGCAACATGAGAACACTGTTTTATAGAATCTTTTAGGTTGCTAGGAATGTCTTAGAATCATTTAGTCAAACAACTGTGGTACACCACGATCAGCTACAGCAGGTTGATCTGAACTCTGTCAGGTTGGATTTTGAACATCTCTAAGGATGGAGACTCTACAGTTTCTGGGCAACTTGTTCCAGTGTTTGACTACTCTCATAGTAAAAAAGTGGTTTTCATGTTCAGGTGAAATGTAATGCATTTTAAGTTGTCTCCATTTTCTCTTGTCCTGTCACTGGGCACTACTGAGAAGATGCAGGTTCCCTCATCTTCATTCCCTCCCATCCGGTAATTATTTATACTTAATGTTAAAATCATCTGGAGCCTTCTCTTCTCCAGGCTGAATAGTCTCAGGTCTCTGACCCTCCCCTCAAATGAAGGATGCTTCTATTCTTCAAACATCTTTGTGGTCCTGCACCACACTCCAGTAAATCATTAACTTTCTTTTACTGGGAGCCCAGACTGGACACAATATTCCAGGTGCTGAATAGGGTGTGAGGATCATCTCCCTCAACCTGCAGATATTGATATGTGTTTTGATGCTTCCTGAATTCTGAATGAAACTTCCATTCACTTTTTAATTGATTTAGTTTTATGTAAAATCCCCCATGTTCTGATATCTATCCTTAGATCCTTGGAAATGTGTGTTCCTGCTCTGGATTGTAAAGCAGTTCTAAAAACTGCTCAATACAAAAGCAATTATTCTTTCCAAGTAATTAGTATCAAGCTTTAAGATCAATCTTCTGGTTATAATTTGTTTTAAAAGACTGCTCTAAGTTTATGCTAATTATATTACTCACATTCATGTGAAAAAGGGCATTAACATGGTGCTTTTACTCTGTGGATTTCCGAAAGCTATATAAAGTCAACCCTGAACCTGCAAAGCCTCAGTGCTAAGGAGCATGCCAGGTGAGCAGCCTGTTGGCTTTTAGCACAATGCTGAACACGTGCAGAACCAAAACCTTTATTTAAGAGAAGTTGCCTCACAAATAAGGAAGGGAAGAGACCTGATATTTTTTCAGCCAGATCTAAAACTTCTGAGTTATAATGCAATTCAGTAAAATTGTAATTAATGCTGCTGAGCAGCTTTGGTGTGGGAAGTCACACAACTCAACTGTAACTGCAAAAGAACTATGTTTACTTTGAACATATTCACAATCAAACGAGCTGCCTGCTCTGAGCTTTACACAACTATTGATGGTATGGTTAGACACAAGTTAACTACATGTTATTAAATCCTAACTCCCTTTCAAAAGATTAAACTGATGTTGTAGAAGAAATATTCTCAGCCAGTCTATTTCACTAAATAAATAAATCACATAATCAAAGCTAAATAACATGGGAATATTCAAATGTAGCAGTTAAATTAGGAATCCTACTTACCGACAACAAAAATGATGTTTGATTTCCTTAGATCTTCTGAAAAGTCTAAAATGAAAATAAAAATTCTTTAGTGGCAAGAGCTACTAATTTTAATGTCAGCTACTTACCACACCAAATTGTATAACACTCATGCAAGGGGGTCTGATTTTGCTAGTTTTACTTTCTGCTATTAAAAAAAAATATATATATACTTTCTCCATTCCAAAAGGAGCTATTATCAGCAAGCCTATTAATCTCTCAGTTTCATAGTTGTCATTGCAGATATGATAAAGACATTTTACCTGAAAATAGACCTTGCAATACACATCAGTTCTTTAAAAAAAGAGGAAAAAAAGAAAGAAGCAGATTCATCTTGATGTAATAATGTGATGCAATGCTTCCTCAGCCACTGCGGTTTCTACTGAGTATATTGTTACATCGTAATTGCTATAGAATCTTGTTCATCTCCCATTTAAATCTTATGCTCTCTGAAATGTAGTTCTAAATTCCTCTGAGCCTCAAATTCAGCCAAATAATAACAATCTTAGCTGAAATCCAGGCAATGCATACACTCACCAAAACTATGGTATGTATTACAGCTTTGCCTTTAACTGAAAGTGTATCTTTTGAAATAGCAATTCCTTCTGAGTCCATCAGTCATTGCACTGACTATACCAGTACAGAAGGTGATCTTTCACCATGTGAGCCTGCTGAAATTTTATTATATCTTTGAATTAATCACTTACAAGACACAAATGTGATTGTGTTAATCATATACAGGACACCTCATACAATTTTGGGGTTTATTTTGTGGTGTGTAGGTCTCTTATTACAAAACATCGTTAGTCATGAAAAGTTTTGCTTTATCCTTTCATTCCTCTTAGACTCTTAGAACCTCATACTTTCCAAGGAGACTTTCATAACTGCCAATTTCTGAAAACATCTCTATGATGTTCAATGCTGATTAACAGTATTATTTTCTAATAAATTTGGATCCATTGGCCAAAAGAGTGTAGAAACATCTTTAACAAACTTTAATTTTCATTCAGAGAGAATTCACATGATAAAAATCCCTTGAGGCATAAAGTTCACAATATAAATAACCTGAATTCACTTTACTTTCTAAGTAACTATTTAAATAACGGGAAATCAAAGGTTTCAAAATTAAATGGCAATTGACACTGAAAAAAAAACTCACCTCCTGTGCTCTCATAACCAGAAAAACTTGACTGATCCTCCTCCTGTTAATTAAGCAATTGACAAATTGAAATGAATAGTCTGCAAAGTTTGCATTTCTTCTTATATCTGCTTATCTGTATATTTTAATATATTATCTCTCTAAGCTCTCAGTTTGAATCTATGTGGAGATGTGGTTTACAGTGCCACAGAAATGCTGTTAATGCAGTTTCGGTTGCTAGAACATGAGCACAGAGAACCCAAGACATCTTGAGATGATTCACTATCCCATAAAATGAGTGGAGTTCCACAGGGTTGGGAGTAGGGGCTGGTGTTGTTTAACCTCTTTGTTGGTGACATGGACAGTGGGACCAAGTGCACCCTCAGCAAGTTTGCCTATGACATCAAGCTGTGCTCGAGGGTAGGGCTGCCAATCCAGAGGGAGCTGGGCATGCTTGAGAGATGGGGCTGTGTGATCCTGACAAAGTTCAGGGCCAAGTACGAGGTACTGCTCCTGTGTCAGGGCAGTCCCAAGCACAGTTACAGCCTGGATGGAGAATGGATCCAGTGCAGTCCTGGGGAAAAGGACTTGGGGTTATTTGTGGATCATGATCCATCAGGGTGCATTTGCAGCCCAGAGAGCCAGCTGTGGCCGGGGCTGCACCAAAGGCAGTGTGGGTAGCAGGCTGAGGGAGCGGATTCTACCTCTCTGCCCTGCCCTCGTGAGACCCCGCCTGGAGCGCTGCACCCACCTCTGGGGCCCCAGCATAAGGACAGGGACCTGCTGGAGTGAGTGCAGACGAGTTCACAAAAATGCTCAGAGGGCTGGAACACCTCTTTTGGCAATACGGGCTGAGAGCTGAGGTTGTTCAGCGCAGAGACGTTACAGTAGCCTCCCAGACCTGAAATGGGCCTGCAAGAGAGCTGGAGAGGGACTGTTTCCAAGGACATAGAGTGATAAGGGGGAATGGCTTTAAACTGAAAGACAATAGGTTTAGATTAGATCTTGGTAAGAAATTCTTCACTATGTGAATAGAGAGGCACTGGAGTGTTTCCGAGAGAAGTTACAGATGACCCATCCCTGGAAGTGTTGAAGGCCAGGTTGGATGGGGCTTTGAAAAACCTGGTCTAGTGGAACATATCCCTGCCTACTGGGAGTTTGGAGCAAAATGATCTTTAAGGTCCCTTCCAACCCAGGCCATTCTCTGCTATAATACTGGTTTTGTGAGGAATAATTCTTCAGTGTCCAAATGCCCAGTTTCCACATGGTATATAAGCAACCAATGTGTTGAATTTCTTCCAAAGTAACTATGGTATGATCAGCTGTTAATAGTGAGAAAGCAATATTGGAGAAAACTTCTAAAATGAACTATAAGATAAAGATGGTATTAGTCTTTGATCTCAAATAACTTAAATATGTTTACCTTCTGAATGCAACATAAGCTATAGGTTGTTATAAAGGCTGTTGAACTACAAGGAGGGACTACACCAGGGAAATGGGGGATGTGGCATGTTCTTTCTCCTGAGATTTAGCCACTTAAAATTATTTTGTCACTTACTGTATATTACAGTCAATGAAAAATTACAAATACTGTTAGCAACAAATACAAATACTGTTAGCAACACTGTCAGAATGGGAATTCTTTATTCTGATAAGTGACAATTACATATATGCTGGACATAGTCTAGGTTATGAGGTGTCAGTATACTCACACCAACAATGCTTTAGCCTGGTCTGTAAAATATCAATAACAGCATTGACAGTAATGCATCCTCATGTGACAGTATTACGTCATCAGCACGAAACATGTTACACGAGTCATCTCAGTAACATATGGCTATCAAACCATAGCTTCTGACAGCACAGCTCTCAGAAATAGCCACCTTTAAATGTGTAGAGCTGCAGGAATAGATGAAGTGACATGAACTGCAAGGTGACTGGAATGGGTAAACTGCTGCCCACTGTAATTTGCAGGGTTCATGTACTACCCTCGCAGGTTTCTCCTTGTGTTCCCATCATCACTGAAACTGAAGTACTCTTCATTAGGCTGAAGTACCATTACATTGGTTACACAAATTATTTTCATTTTTTGATTCACAGTAATTCTCAGCCTATTACACTGCAGCAGAAGAATTGCCATCTTAAAAAAAAGAAAGCTGTCATTTTCAAATGAGAGATTAATCTCTTTCCTACATTTTAAGTGATAGTATTAACCCTACATCCTTTATTTTTGGATGTAGTAATACAGTAAAATAATTGACCCTGCAAAGGATATATTGCATACAAAAGGCTTCATTTTAGATTCTACTTCTTATAATGGCTTTGAAAGTTCATAGATCAAAATCATTTTAGGCACTACATTTAGAGTAAAATTCCTTTAAAATTCAGGATCAGAATTCCAGGTTTACAGTCAAATTAAAGAATTGGAAGCAGCATTACTTCTCTCAAGTTTTGCTTTTGTTTTCCCCTATGATTGCAGACTGAAACTGCCTCCAACCAGTTTTTGTGCTGGTCTGGGTGAGGAGCTAGTTGTGCTGTTTTGTTTGAGGTTCCTTGCAAAGCATGACAGTCTGACACCCTGTTTAATGCACTCCCCTCGTGTTTGCAGTTGACAATACCCATTTCTGACTGAGTCTTTCGAGCAAGTAGGTCTCTAAACTGTGGATGGCTTGACCTGTATCAGGCTGAAAACACTGCTCTGCTTGTTACCAGAGTGCTTTGGAAAACAACTGTGGGATTTAGCAAGTGATCACATAAAGCAAAGTCCCTCCAGTTAGACAGCAAATGGTATTTGTCACCACATTGCCACAGCAATACAGTGATTTAGCAGCAGTCTCTGTATTCTCACTATAGTTGTTTCCATGTACTTGAAAGCAAAGTGAGGAAGATTACATCTTATAATGAGCTCCGAAGAAAGATGGGTAGTCAAATGCCTTTACAGTGAAGTTGCATCTCCAAATATTATCCAAATATCCATTAGTAGAGCATAGCTGTCTGTGTAACTACTTAAACAATATCAACAGTACATTAAAATAATTGCTAAATAGAGAAATTTGCTACCTATAAAGAATCGCTTATTTGACATTTGTCTTTAGAGCTGGAAAACCGAGGCTTTTGACTGCCATTTTACTTGTCATTTATGTTGTAATTAGTAAATACCTGACTGGTAGTAGATACTTCATTGGTTAATGAGTTTTCAGTTACTGTCATTGCTAGGTTGTAAGGTAAGTCCACAAAACCATTGGGTTGGAAGATCATCTAGTTCCAACTCACCTAATTTCTGTAATAGCAAACTATGACAGAAAGTCTCAGCAAATAATAATGGAATGATACATAATTATTCAGAAGTTTCAATTTTGCTGCTAATAGATCAGTACTCTTAAGGCATATCAATAAAATAGATTTAATTTTCTTAGCTAACGAAGGGGCATTTTCTTCATTAGGACTTAGTGTCAGCTGTTGTGAATGTCAGTTACTTGATGAAATGAGAAAGCTTTCCTGTTACCCATTAATAACTTCTGCTCCAGTCCCGGTGTGTTTTAGTTGGGGTTTTGTGTTTTTGTTTTATATCAAAAATATTTCTCCCTTATCACCTCATTGTTGTTTGAATGCTTCTAGAAAATAGTAGTGAAAAGTGCCTGATGTATTTTATTCAGATTTCTAACAGATATAATAGGAGTTTCTCCTCCATATTTACCAAAGATGATAAATTATCACAGATAAAGGAGAAAAGAGGCAGTAGAATGAGACTGAATTTAAAATACAGTATGACTGCTGCTTAAAAATCATGCTCAATTTTCAAGTTTGAATTTGAGAATGTAAATACTCCAAGGAATGTTTCAGACACAAATTATTTAAACAAATAAAAATTACATGTTTCTTTGCTGGTTTTATGAAAGGGCAGTGCTCCCTGGGAATGGATTTTATGAGCCATACTATTAAATTTGATTTATACTTCAAATCAATTTTTGAGCCTGAGTTGCTTTCTGTAAGCTGAGTGTTAAAGTATGCCTCTGGAAAGCAGAGGTGGCTGTGCTCTGACCTTCTCTTCCCCAGAACTAATAAATAAGGTAAGACACACCAGGAATGCCTTCACACTTCAAGGCTTTTTTTTTCCATTGAAAGACAAATTTTCTTCTTCATACTGCTCAGCAGAGTGGAGTTATTTGTGTAAAAAAGGACTAATAGAAGTTAAGATGAGGACAGAGTGCTAATGTTTTTGAGGTGATTTTTGTTTGTTCAGAATGCATACAACTGCAAAAATATCAGCGTTCATAATAGCAGCAAAATTCTGACAGATGAGATCACTGTGATTCCCGTTTAATTCTGGGTTTCTGGCAAAGACAAAACTGCCATTATCTCTTGTGAGGACAGACTGAGGTAGCTGGACATGTTCAGTCTTGAGACGAGACCTAATCAATATCTGTCAGTATCTGAAGGGAGGTGTCAGAGGATGGACCAGGCTCTGCTCAGTGGTGCCGAGCAATGGGACAAGAGGCAACAGGCAGAAACTGATGTGCAGAAGTTGCACCTGAACAGGAGGCAGAACCTGACTGTGCAGGTGACCAAGCACTGGCACAGATTGCCCAGTGAGGTGTCGGAGTCTCCCTCACTGAAGATTTTCAAGAACCATCAGATGTGATCCTGTACTGTGGGCTGTGGGATGACCGTGCTTGAGCAGGGAGGTTGGACCAGATGACCCACTGCAGTCCCTCTTCCCACCTTCCCCATTGTGTGATTTTGTGATTATTCTTATAAAACAAAACTTATTATCACTTCTAAAAAGAATAATAAAAATAATTATACCTATTAGTTAGAGATTAACCCATGTTTAACACTTGCAAGCCAAGACCAAATTATCTAGCTTTTAAATTTGGTTGGGGCATTTTTTCAGATTTTGCATTTGTGTTCTTCAAGAGCATAAAGAAGAATATCTGTAGGTAGTTTAGGAAAAAGCCACAATCTGTGTGCTATAGTTTGGGGGGGGTTGGTTTTTGTTAACTTCTGTATGTTTTTATAATGACAAAAATACATATGACTACCAAGCATGAAAATGAAAGCAAA